TAACGGTTTTCGCGTTCACGCACGGGCGCAATTCGGATAAAAGCATACGTGCGCACGCGATGGAAAATACACTATATATNATATATATATATATATATATATGAATAACCATCAACGTATATTACCTCAACGCACCATGAAGTGGGAGACATCAGCCAACTATTGTGTGCCTATGGGAAAGTGGACAAACCAGTGGCGAATTGGAGCTCAACCACAGTCGATTAGTGACCGTGTGTATCGACTTAGCACGTGATTTTTTCATGAGACGAAAATAGCGAGTAACGGCTGCGTGGGTAGGGGGATGGCAGTCAGGAAGCCGGAAATGAAACGGGTCAGGACGTTAGACGGGCAACCATCAACAAATAAGCTATTAGAGTTAAATGTGTGTGAAACGGAGATGGGGAGCTATTTTCGTAGTTCCGCGATGTTCGATATTCTCTCAGGGAGGAATATCCTTCGATTTGGTGAAGATTGCTTCTAAATGAAGTGGTCGCATTTTGAGTGGAATAGTCCTTCTCCGAGTTAGGTTACTCGGAAAAGAAATCAATTTATAGGTGAACCACAACACATATTTACGGCCAACCCGCGGTGGAATGGAAAACGCCAACTTCCTAGAGAGCTCTCGACATTATCCGTGTTTGAGTCAACCTCCGAAGCTCAACGTAAGCTAGGTACTATTTTCATGCGTTCTGTATGCTAGGGACTAATACTTGGTTTAAAAAGTACATCGAAGTAGGTGTGGCCTCCATAAAAGTCGTGGAAGCTCGATCCCATTTACAGGATGACCTTGATATGAGTTAAAACAGACCATTCTACCGTGAAATCAAGGTTACACTTATTAGGACAACCCTTGATCCAAGTTTTTCAAACATCAGTTGCGGGTCAGAACATCTCTTGTAAATCATGAGATGCACAGTACAGGGTCACCTCCTACAGGAACGAAACGACTGTGTCGCATAGTTCATCTTTTCAGAGCACATATAAATTATTCTGAAACTTCAAATACATTAACAACTTAGATCCCAGTGTGGACAATAGGCCCTAGCTTTAAACTCATTAGGTGGGCAGTAAAACCAGAATCCCAACGCAAAATACAATTGACCGTACAATGTTGTAAACTTGTGTACAACATCACTCTTCACGAGGAAACGTCCCCGAGAAGGCGCCAGCCCCGTGGGACCAAAAGGAGATTATCTCAGATGAAGCGCGATGCCCCGTTTCAAAGTGGTCTGTCCTGGGAGGATTATGGGGATTTCTTTCATATATATATATNTAAAATGTCCACAACGGGCGAAAGTTGATTTCTCCGCAAATCGGGACAGCGTGTGCACATTTCGCTGTACAACAACTGACAGTGCTGATGTGAATTTTCCAGCTAAATGTGGCTTTCAGTGGCACTATGCATACTTACAACGACCATAGACTTCGAAAGCTTATTTTGTTTCCATGAGACAGTGTACTGATGCCAGTCGCCGAAAGATGTCTCCAAGAAAACCCCTCTTCCTCAAGTCATCAAGCCTGTTTAACAGACCGATGCAGACTACGGGGAATCTGGGTGAATAAATCGTGAGGCTTACCAAGAAATGGATGTATTTTGATAGCAAAAAAACTCCTCCAGCTTTAAACGGTCTTGGACCATCCCCGTTTGTTTCTTTTGTGTACCACTGCTGCAGTTAGAACTTAATAACCCTAATCACACTCCTAAGTTCCAGGTGTTCGTTGGAAAACGGTATGCACGTACCCAAGCTAGGATGCGTCAGCACTGGACCCTTTCACTAATCCATCACTCAAAAGAGACGATATCAAAAAGGCCAGGTGATCAGCACTTCCATATTATATATATATATATATATATATATATATTGGTAGCTGATCAGGTGGCTGTTGATCTGTTCGCCGAGCATGGCAATTGATTTCCAAACGTTTCGTCACCATCTTTAGTGCGCACTGAAGATGCCTCCTCGAATGGTGACGAAACGTTTGCACATCAATTGCCAAGCTGCGTGAACAGATCAATAACCACCTGATCAACTACCAAGTAATACACCCGAGCTACCAATATTCCAACATATTCCAAATATATACATTATATATATATATAACGGATGGCCGCAGCATTTAGTGC